GCATTCACTGCAACAGTAAAACTAATTCATAAAGCTGAGAGACAATAGGAAAGCATTATGGATATTAAAAAAAATTGTAATTTCTCATAGATCAACTTGATCACTAATGTAAACAGTTCAAATGCAGACGAGGAGAAGGTAGGGGAAGGGGAGAGACCCAAACGGCTGCGCTGCCACCTTAGCTGACCCTCGACAAGTTTGAGTAAAGCAAGAATTTAGAGTTCAGCATAAAATCAATGTGCAGTTTGTCACTGGAGGGCTGAATCTCGGGCTTTACTCTGGATACTGAGTTAGGCTGGATTTCTCTTCAGAAACTAGGAAATTATAGTGTTGGTTTTTTTTTTTTTTTTTTTTTTTATTATTATTTTCTATTTTGACATAAGAAAACAGTTAATAAATGCTCCTGAGGGCATACATTTTAGGGGGGCATTTTCTCTCCATCACCTACCAGAGTTTAGCTCAAGGTCATCTCACCTTGGTGTGTTGCACTGAACTCTGGAGGAGGCAGAGGGCTGGAGGAAGGGGATAAAAGGACTTCCGAGATGGCTCTGCCGGTGCGGTCAGCCAAGCGACGGCGCTGCCACGATAAGGGTGACGCTGGACGGTTGCCACAGCCTCCTTCTAACGTAGCATGAAACCTTTTGCTTGGGGATTGCTCCTGCCTCGGTGCTGGAGTAGGGCTGGCTGTCAGCCTTGGTGTTGAGCCGGTTTGGTGCCATGAGGAATTAGTAACCTGGGGGGAGTGAGAAGGGGTGGTTTTGCCTTCCGTTATCTCAGCGGTAAACTCTGGGCAGGATTATTTTCCTATTTTTCTGCCACGATTTGGATGCACTGCTATGGCAGAGAGGGAGGGAGGGAGTGTTTCTGATACCAGGTTACAGATAAGATAAAGTCTGTCACTGTCCTGGCATCCAGCATTTGCTGCCTGGGGTGGAAAATTTGAGGAAAGGAGTACATTTGGACAAGGTGTAGCATTAAGAGACAAACTTGGCTGCTTTCCATCCGTATCTACTGGAGACTTTACCCACCGTCTGTAGTCAAAGGTGATTAAAAAAAAAAGTCTTATTGGTTTTTTGTTGCTAAAAATGCTCTCAGCAACATTCAAAAAGGGGCTTTTATTAAGACTATTGCTTGCTAAATACCATTCATAAAACAGTGACGAGAAAATATAATGGAAACTTACATTTTTCCCTCTGTCACTTTGATTTCTTTGTTACTGCTAAAACGACTGCTCTGACTCATATTTTGCATAGTTATTTTTACCTTTTCAAATGTTCCTTAACTGTTCATATTACCCTGGGCAAATCCCCCAGGGATAATTTTCATTTGCATGCAGACTTTGATGGTGTTATTAAGCAATCACTTTCTGTACTAAGTCATTATTAAAAGTAATACCACAGAGCCTCAAAAACACATTAATGGTGCCAAACAATCCGCATTTCAGCGCTAGATTTATGGAAGGGGAAAAGCACAAGGTCTCATATCGTTCAGTGGATGCTGCTCTGTAGTGCTGTAGCAGCAGCAGGCTTGATCAGAAAATATCAGAGCCAAATTCAGAGCCCTTGTCTGTTGTCAGCCTTATGCCCTTTTTTTTTTTTTTTAATTTTTCTTTTTCAACCTGATGGCTTCCTGCTTGTTTTTCCCCTTGGATTTGCCCTTTTCCTCTGGCCTTGGCAAGAAAGCCCGTCTGCAGTCTTCCAGTATACACAAGCTGGGCTGGTTCTGGGAAGGAGGGTCAGCCTTCCCATCTGTAATCACTGTTTTATGGCTTTCACTTGAGGTGTTAATGCAGATCAAATGGAAAACACTCCAACATGAGCGTTACAGCTTCTCGTGCTGCCCTACATAAGGTCCCAATCGTTAATTCTGATTATAAGACCTAAAGGTAATTCTATTTGCTCTCCTAATGCATTGCAGCTCTCCCGGTGGTCCAGCATCTCTTTTCTCCAATTCCCATCTTGATCAATTGTTTGCAAATAATTAAGCTTTTAAGAGATAATGGTAGGAGCTAATGTACACAACAAAGTAAAGGTCTCAAGTCACTGTTTATTGAACAGTTTGCTTTGATATCCCAAAGTGATCCAGAGCGATAGGTGGACTTGGCAACTGGAGTCAGTGTGGTGTTTTTAGACATGCTTCCATATATATATTTATATATTTCATAGAATCATGAAATATCTCGAGTTGGAAGGGACCCATAAGGATGAAATCCAACTTTTTGCTCCTTACAGGACTATCTTAAACAAAATCATCTGACTAATATATATATAGAGAGAGAGATATTTGTATACATAATTTATACATACTCATGCAAATATAATATGCCTGTATACACACAAATATGTATACCCATATCTATGTTCATGTGTCTTTGTCCCTTTAAACAACCATTAGAAAGCTTTTGAAAGGCACTTGTCGCTCTAGCACAGGCAGAATAAGGGCCAACAGCAACAGTTTCGATTGAATTTCCTATTTCTTCATAAAATGGCAGTTCTCAGGGTTTTCCCCTCTCTCTCTGTTGCAATGTGATGTCTGCCTTTGCCTGTAGCACAGGCCTTCTGAGCCCTGTGGGTGGGAATGCAACAAGGCTTTGAATGTTTTTATAGCAACCTAGCCTGTGGCACGCTGATTCTTTGTCAAGTCATTTTTATTATTTTATTTATTTTATTTTTAGCCTACAAAGGAACAACTCGTACGATCCGCAGAAAGCTTATATAATAAGGATGCCTAGTGTTTAAGATTACTTTAAACCACGCCGAATGATAGTTAAAAAGCCTGCTGCATTGTGAGCCTTCAGCTAAGAGGGATTAGCTATGTGAAATCCCAGGCTGTCATGTGATTATGGCAATTACAGATTTATCATGAAATTAAAAGTTTATGCTGTACTAGGATATGAAGGAAAAAAAAATCAGATGACCTTAAACATACCGCAATTTGAGGAATTTGGGGGGTTGGGACTTTTAAAGCAATTATTTTTACAGTGACTGTATTATTCTGATGGCTAATTTTATCCAGTCTTGTCTATTTGGAAAAAAGTCCAGAACAATTGAAAATTGCTTAATGGAGACAGACTTCTCAATTCCAATAGCTAGAGGCTGTCTAGTAATTATTGCTTGCTGCATGAAATTAGACACAGTTTGTTCAATTACTTAAAATTAGATCACATGTAAGGTGGCAAAGCAAAATAAGAAAAAAAAAAACAACCCTACAGAGATGATTTGTAACATTTTCATCTTCACAGCTTACTTCCCATTTCATTACTTTGCTATCAAGTGAGGACAGAATTATTCTTTTTTTTTTTCTTATTTTGAAGGGAAGCAAAATGTTGTATTCAGATAGATGGGCGTAAGTCAAGTTTGACTGTTTGTTGTGGGTGAATGTGTATAGGAAGCAGACAATAAAAATGCTTACCATGTTTTTGCATATGTAAAATACAAATTACCCATGAAAAAGAAGTAAAATTCCCTTCCCTCTATTTTCCACTTTGCAATTCTGGAATTTCTTCATGTACACATGGAAAATAAAGGGAGTGGTTTACAGGTGTGCAGGTTACTTGTGGGCTTCCTGTCAAGAAAACAGTATTTTAAAAAGAATTGAAAATTCCCCAATGTTTTTGGGTGACAAAAAAAATAAAAATTCTCTTGTGGAGCTGGTGGCCACAGTGGTGGCCTTTGAAATGGGCATATTGAGTTAGGGGAAGTTGCTGAAGTTAAAACAAAAATTCCTGTTTGGTAACATGAGGTGATACAGCCACGTAACATAACCATGAGATGTCAGACTGTGCTGTTTACAAGAATATATAAAATCTGCTAAATAGTTACGATACCAATAAGATTGTGAAATTTTATGAGGTTTTAAATTCTTATGCTTTACAAGGTTTCAGTTTACATCTCATGTAATATTACACTGAAGAATACATCCACAAACTATGGGAATGTTTTTGGGGGAAAAAGGGGGATGATTGTGTAACAGCAAATACTTTGTGACAATCAATTGCTAAATGGTGTTGGGATAGGTCTAAGCAGTTATGTCAAATTATCTTTATTGAAATGCTGTTAATCACCTTGCAGCAAACCACGTCTGAATCCAATGTGTGGGCATCCAGGTTAGGAGCTGAACCAGATGCTCAAAACAGGACTTTTCCTTGAAATTGTTACATTTGCAATATATGGCCACTTCCTTTTGGGATAGTGATATTTTTACATAGAGGGAAAGGACAGAAGTGATATTTCTACATTTCGAACTTGGCTGTGGTTTTTGCTGTTGATTTATTAAGCAATCTGTATTCATGCAGAAGCGAATTTTCTGAGAAAGCAAATCAAGTTCTCACAAGAAACTTAATTTATGATTGAATTTTAACATTATCTTCAATTAAAGCAGTATTTATTTTCTGTCTCTTAGGATTAGTGCAGCACAGCTATGTTAATGTCAGGCAAAAATGTGCTGATTGTTGACCTTCTGTTGGCCTGTGTTCAAAACTCGGGCGTTTGTTTATGTTCAGGATGCTGATCTTATTTGCAAATTATTTGGGGGCACTGGCAAATTTTGCCTTCACTATCTCAGAAAACATCAGTGTATTTTAGTTTTACAGAGAAGTGCTTTATCACATTCTTTATTGTTCTGTGAAATACAGAAAAAAACCAACAAAAAGATGATTTGACTAATCAGTCATTTGAGACAAGTACAAAAAACTTGCAGCTCATGCAACAAATATCCTTCTCAAGTATCAAGGTACTGTCAGTATCCTAAGCAGTTATTTCTCCACTTCACTAATCTTTATAATTGGCTTGTCTTTTACTGCCATTAATTAAGTGATGTACTAGCCCATTAATAATTATAAAAGAGTGACACACCTCAGCATTTTCACCTTTCAGTAATAGATGTCACGCTTCTGTTTTGTTTTGGTTTTGGTTTTTGCATCTTTTTTAAAATTTAAAATAAAAACTAGGCCAAAAAACCGCATCGTTTTAAATTTATATATTTATTTTGGTGTCTTATAGCACCCTTACCCTTCAGAAGAACAGAAAAAGCAGTTGGCACAAGACACAGGGCTCACTATACTTCAAGTGAACAATTGGTAAGTAATTTTCCTTAGTGTTTCTGTGTGGCCCCTGGCACCCTCTGGCTTTGTGGTTTTGGGTACACACCTTGCCCTTGTTGTTCCCCTCCCCAACAGTTTATTGATGCAAAAGGGATATAGCCAAGTGTATAGGAACTAGGAGGTTTGCTACTGTATTTTATTTTCCCATCACTTGGGCAGATTTCAGTCTTTCAGATTTCAAATTTTCAGTGATTCAGATTTCAGACTGCCATTTGGGTGCCAGTCCTCCTTCTGGCTGAGGATGTGTGTTCTTCAATAGGAAGGCACATCCGTTTGCAGAACATTGGTCTTGGGAGAGGTTCAGATGTTGAGTGAAAGAAAAGGGGCAGTTGGTCCCATTTCTGCCATTGTTATTTGGGGGGGCTGTCATGCTTTTTTATTGTTGTTGGTGGAGGGGTTTTTTTGACTGACATCCTTGTGTCTCTTTATGGGTTTGCTTTAAAGATCTGGTTTTTGAAAGCTTGAGTAAACTTTGAGGACAATCTGGTTCTTTGCTGCTGAAGTACAGTGTGGAGCAATTTCATTTATTTGTTCTAGCTAAGGGTTGGTGGAGCCCCTGATCTGTTATAGTAGAGATTTGTTTGAAGGAAATCAGGATTTGTGCTGTTTCTGCAGTGGATTTTGGGTCGCTAAGTGTCCAGGGCGTGGTGAAGGCAACCAGTGAAAATTACTTGTGATTTAAGTGTCATACAACAGCAAACCTTTTTTAAAAAAAGTTTGATTTATCACCCTTTGATACTGCATCAAAATGTAGGTTCCTCCCACTATCCCAGAACAAGTGTCATATTTGAAGTGTATTGCAATCTAATACCTTGTAAAACTAAGTGTATCTAATTAATTGTCCTAATATTTTTAGATTAGTGTTTATGATGGGAAACCTTATCCTCTTTGAAGTAATACCCAGAAAATGGCCAAGGCAAACAGCAAGCCTGCTGGGGAAAAGGGAGGGAGGAATCCCAGTTTGCAGACAAAAGTTGGGGTTTTTTTTCCATTCAATAAGTGTCAGAGATTAATATTACTGAAGCTCTGATTACATGGCCTAATCCATTTTAGTGAATAAATTTGGTCTTGATGTCCATTGCACCTACATTAACAAACCCTCCTCTCTTAGAGAGAGTAGGAGCCTATGGGAGAGATTTCAGATATATTAAACCCCATTACAGAAAATGTAATTTCTGTCAATATAATCCCATGTATTCTTCAATTTAGTACTTTAGAGATAACAAGCTACTTACAATATATTTGCCTTTGGAGGATTAATTTACAAAGTGCACTATCTGGGAGACGCAGGCGGGCTCACATAAGCATAGCTTGTAAGGGTTATCAATTTCTGTGACCCCACAGCAGCCCTGGGAGATCAATTTTTTGAAGCCCTTTAAGATGCTGAATAAAGGAAAATGCCAAATACTTAGTGGATATGAAGTATGCTTCCCAGATACTTTAAAAAGGAGGAATAAAAGGCACTAAACATAAAATTTATGTGTTATAAGGTAGCGTAACCTACAGTATTTTGGCTTGGCCAGAAAAAATTAGTGTTTGCTTCAGCTTTACATCCTCCAACCTTCATCTGGGCATTACCCTAATTTATATGGTTGTCCTTCAGTTTAACGATGGGCACTTTGGCCCACTGAGAAGTTGTGTATATTCGTCAGGGTCTTATTTAACGATGGGGTGAAGTTAAGGGTGTTCTGCTTCTGCGGGGTCCAGGCGTGTAGGATTCAGTGTGGGCAAGTGTGTCAGTTTAGGATGGTCCATCAAAGAAATTTTTCAAGATGATGAATGTGGGATGCCTTGAACTAAAGCTGTTTGAATTTCTGCCGAGTGACTTTCCAGGGTGTTTTTTAGTGCTCATCTCACCTCAAATATGAGGAGTTTTTACTTTGGCTTTGTGTCAGGTGTGTTCTTATAAGTTCCTTATGTGCTAGTTAAAAAAAAAAAAAAAGGAGGTCAAATACATTATAACTGAATTCTTGTGGATGTAGGGCAGGCTTCCTCTGCTTGAGCTAGTTCAGTAATTCTGCTGTAGTGTTACAATTGCATAAATTATTGAGACAATTCCCCTTCTCTCCCCAGCGAAACAAGGATTCAGCACTGTGGAGGCAGTCAGGGTTTCTTAAATCACAGGTGGTGGGCAAAGATGCAAAAATATGGCAATTCAGCCCCTGCTTTTTGTAATGAATGCTAAGGAACAAGGAGGCTGTGAAGCTGTTGCTGAAAGCACAGGTTGCATGAGAAATACCCGTGACCAATGAGGTACTCACCCCCTCCCAAATCCTGGAGGGTATGGGGCAACCCTCTCCAGGCCTTTGTTGAGTCTCTTTTCTTCCAAGGCAATGTGCAGAAGAAACTCTTCTTGCCTAAATAATTTGCTGCAGGGAAAAACTAACATATCATTTCTGGTTAGTTTTGCCTTTCTTCAGCAGGCTCATAAGTCATTCAGCCACAACTCGCAAAAAAATTTTTGCCTTCCTTCTTAGATTCTTCCAAACTTGTTAACACACATGTACATTTTTGTATTAATGATGAGTCATTGTAAATCACTGTTGCAGAGATTAAATAAAATGCTGAAGGGCAGGCTGGGTGCAGATCAGTCATAAATTATTGGCAGCAACACAGCGTGTGGGAATACATGAAATGTGCATGAAAAACATAAACTCATGTCTGGTAGCATGGTCGTTAGCCCAGACTGGGAATGCTGGATTTTCTGGCTGGAATTAGAAGTTTGCCACAGAGCAATCAGTGAAGAGAGCATTTGTTTTCTGCAGATTGAAAGCATTTGAGCAATTTTTTTTTTTGTCATATCTTGAATGCCTTTACAGTATGTGCTGGTTGCATACTTCAGTTCTGTGCCGTAACGAAAACAAAAATGGTGCTTTTCACACATGGGCTGCCTGGTGTTGGGGCTCCCCAGGCTGATGCACATAACTCCTGCTGATGGTGGAGGAGTCACAGGAATGGGGTGATGATGTGAGACGTGCCAGAAAATGTATCCGCAGTAGGGCACATGACTTTAAAAATACCACAGTCCCTATTTACCATGACCCTTTTCCTTGAGTTGTTTTATTTTTTTTAAAGTAATGAAATAATCCACATGGAGGACTTTTTTTTTCCCCCCCCACATGACAGCTTTACTTGTGAATCACCAGCATTGCCTTTTAGGACAATCTTTTTGCCTCAGTTGGATGTTTCTGTTATGGGAAGAGGGAGCCTTTACCCTGTTGCAAAATAAAAATAAATCTATGCCATTCAGGTCTCTCTTGTGCTGGTTGTTTAACCCCACAGCAGTTTAGGGTTCGAAGCCTGGTAGCATGAACTAGAAGGGGCACTTGTATGGTCTTGACAGCCTATATGGACGTGGTAGAGACCTGACCAAGCACAGGTTAATAAGGTGCTTTTCCCGGGTGATAAAAACTGTGTTTGAAATATCCACGAGGTGTGAGCCAATCACTCCTTACCTCAGCTGAGAGCCAGCCAGGCTATATTGAACAATCTATACGGTTTTCTTGCTTACTACATCTCCCCTGAATCCCTCCCCATTAAGAACTAATGGTAAATAATTACTGGTAGTAGTCTACAAGGAAGAGAGAGCAATTCTCATCAGAGGCTGTACTAGGTGTCAGATTCTTGTGTATGTTTTAGAAAAGGCTTGGTACACACAGATAAATGTTTGTATATTTGTGCCTATACAACCTCTCTATATGTGCATGCCTATATGTGACTGTCTCTCTATTTAGAGTTATGTACAACTGCATCAAAATGATCTTAAAAAAAAAATTAAGTTTGAAAATTCAAATCCTTAAAGCTCCAGCCTTTATTAGGTGTTTCCATTCTGCTTTTTTCAAAGCACCCTTGTGCTATCTAGGGCACAGCCCAGACAATGATGGAGCAGCTAGTCAATATTTTATCTTGCCCTCATTCTTCCATGCTTCGTTTGTTGAGCTGTATTCAAACTGAGCTTGAAGATGGAATTAATAATTACTGCTGGGCTGTCCTATGGCACTTAGTGCTGTAATACCCAAGTCCTTCCCTGACCTCCACGTGCTTACATATGCATACAAGGTGGTGGGTCTGCATGGTATTTTTACGGTTCCCCTACAAAGAGAAATAATAGCATTGTCCCAGTTCACAGGGGAAGAAGCGAGGCTCGAGGAGCTCCAGGTCCAGCACGGTCACAGGTTTTGGGTGGGTCTGGGACTGTGAGGTGACTCAAAATGACAGCAAGTTATTCACGTTTAAGGTCCAGTAATCACTGAAACTTCATGTTTCACAGAAACTCCCTAGTTTTGAGTGCTTTGGCATCTTATGTTGCCAACCTGCAGTGTTGGGTATGGAGGAGAGATATGAGAAGTCAGCAACTGCTGGCGAAAGGTTTAGGTTCAATGATTTTCTCAGAACCTCTTGAGCAGTCCAAGGAAGCAGCAGAGCTGAATCTTCTTCTCCAGTGCAGCATTTGGCTGCATTAACCAGGACTGCCTTGCTTTTTTGCTGCCTTATTCATTCAACTTTGTCAGAGTTTATTTCCTGTAGAAATCAAATTTTTTTGCGTTATAATGCCCTGGCCTGTTCTTATAACAGACATGATCATCATTGGGGTGGTTGAGGTATTAAGCCCATCAAAACTGGTAGCACGAGCTGGTAACTGAACTGTTTGCATAGAAATACATTAAAGACTAGGGTGCAAACAGCTTTAATAATATGGCTTCCTAACTCTTGAGTTCTTGATTTTATGTCCATGACTTCTTTAAATGTCAATTTTATGTATAATTTCCTAGGCTTGCAAAAAACCCAAAACAAACCACAACCAAACACACTGGAAAAAATTATCAGATAATGTAAATTTTGCTAATGTCATTCTTGGGGACAGGTGAAGTTAATTTTACTGAACCTTTGTAAGGAAGAAATTTTAAAAGGGCTCCAATACCAGCCTAAAGCTGAGTTTGAAAAATCAGAGATGGGCTTGGGATAGGAAGACCTGA